TGTGTGTGTGTCGTTTTTGTTGTGGCGACAAGTTTCAATAGCCGCAGTAATACGAATTGGCCGCTATTTCAATAATTAAGCTGTGAAAGTAGCAAATGGCGGCCTATGTTTGAAAGCTACATACGCAATGCTCGCTCACGCGCACACAGTGAATTGCTGGCAAGCGTTAAGCTGCCAACGAAGCTTGCCGTCCCTTCGAGACACAAACTACAAATTGGTCATCTTGCTGCGCCGCGGATGCTTGTCTTTCTCAGGAACAAGAAGCTACTAGGGGCCCTAGGGGCTCCTGGCATCGCTACTAGGAGCAAGGACGCTACTAGGGGCTCCTGGCCTTGCTATTAGGAACAAGGTTAAGTTGCAGCGTGTCGCAGGTGAGCTAAGCAGCGCGATGCGGCTTGCTGTTGCTTCGCTGGCTCGGCACACAGCATGGCCAAAGGTGCGCATGCGCGATGCCCTCCACGCGTGATGTCACAGTGCCACGCGCTTTGTTGAGACCTGTGTGGAAAGTGCGCTTCCGTGGCACTGTGCCATTCGCATATGGCCGGATGGTTCATAAACACTCAATCAATGGTTGCCAGGGGAGAGGAGAGAGAGAGGGGGGGGGTTCTGCCCTTGGACGCTTCGCTTTCCTATGTTCACGCAGGTGCACCGGTTTGCTCCGAGCAAAGCTCCTTCACTGCGCATTCAACAACTCCGGCAGGCAGGTGAGCTCCAAGTGCCCTTCACCACGGGTTTGTTGATCGGGATTGGTGAGACCCAGTCCGATCGTCTGAGAGGCCTAGAGCTCATCGCCCATTTGGCGGAGGAATTTGGACACATCCAAGAGGTCATTCTCCAACCTCATTCGTGGGGCAGTCGCCAGACACTGACGCCAACCAGTCGGTCAAGCCGGACGAGCGGGTCCAACATCCTTTTGGGGTGTGAGGCGCTTGCAGTTTTGCCGGAGCTGGTCAGAGCTGCACGGAGCATCCTGCCACCGGACGTGACCATTCAGATTCCACCGAACTTGTTTTTACACAGTCCAAATTCCACCGATTCAGGCAGCTTTTCAGAGAGCGAGAATTGGCAGCTCTTCCTGGAATGTCTTGAGAATGGCGCTCAAGATTTGGGCGGTATCTCGCCCAGAGATGAGGTCAATCCAGACTTTCAATTTCCTGCGATCCAACAGCTTCAAGAAGCTCTTTTCAAGGACCGATTTAGCTATGTTGGCCGCTTCTAGGTTGGAGGAAGCTATTTGGTGTGGAAGGAACTTGTGCTTTTCATAGCTCTACAAACCGTGTTTGGCCCAAAGTTGGGTCCAAAGCACCATCCAAACAGGCTGAGAGTTCGGGCAACTGGAGAGTTCGCTCAGGCGGTTCATAGCACCTAGTCCGTTTTAGTCGCACGTCCATCTTTCGCGCAAAGTCCTGGTTTGTCCTCAGTTCGATGAAGACAGCCAGTTGATGATCTAATCATGTGAGAGTTTCTTTGTATCCTTGCAGGTAGAAATGTTCTTTTTACAAAGCCTCTTTGCTCACTTAGCCACCTAGCTGCTATTCATGCCCCCTTCCTCTCACACAGGCCTGACCCCCACTTGACAAAAGTTGAGATTTTACTCCAAGATTTGTTACCATCAGATTTCTTGTATGTTGTTTCCCTCGTCTCAAGACACATGGAACATGTGTTTTCTGATTCGGAACATGGTCTGATCCTCCGGTCCTTGTGACAGGAAAGGACGTGGGGAGTGATGGGACTAGAGACGAAAGGCATCGAAAGCAAACCCGGAATCGCCCGAACGGTGTGTCGGACTTTGAACAACGGGCATCGCTACGAACGGAGCAAGGGCGCTACTTTGGCAAAAGACGGCCCTTTGGTAAACCAAGACGTCCATCGACAATGCTTCCATGGAAGTGCACAAATGTTGGCAAAACTCGCTCAAGCATAATTATGTCCAACCACCTGCGGACCCTTAAGTCTGCTGTTTACCTAAATTCACCAAGTTGAAAGATGTACAAAATTTGATGAACTGAGGTCGTGTTTCCTTTAATTTGTAATGTAAATGTTGAGAAAAGGTATCAAATTCATCAAGAGTTCTTCACAAAAGGACATAGCTGCTATGCTTCGGTGACTTGATTTCTGATAGAGAAATGACCACCTTCTTCTTGTGGATTACTTGTGGCCAAGTTTCTCAAATATAATTCTGGCTTGTGGGTTACTCGTGGCCCAGGTTCTACCTGTGGAGTACTGGTGGGAAATGTTCTCAAGTACCACTTTACTTGCGAATTGCTTGAGCAAAGTTCTAAGTATGAGTTCACATTTTACTTGTTGCTAAAGCCCAAATATGGTGTAAGAAGTGCCTTTCGTTCAGATATAACAAGTGACCCTTGTTTTCTTATGGTTTTGTTCAATCTTTGGAAGCAGTCGAGAAGTGAAGGACCTGAGCCGGTAGCGTTCGTGCTGAGCTGCACGAGGTCGCTACGTTTGCTTCACTTGTTTTTCATTTTGGTTTCTTTGCCTTATGAGCAAAGGACGCTACTAGCATCGCTACTAACTAGGAGCAAGGGCCTTACTACTAGGAACAAGAAGCTAGTAGAAACAATAAGTAATTTAAGTAAAGAGCGTCTCGAGTTCTAAAGGTCTAAGGTCAACAAAACCATGGTTTCCTTCTTGTTCCGCATCCTTCGCGGGGCAAAGCTCTCCTACCCTTCCCACACCTCCCTCCCACATCCTCCCGAAAATGTGCAAAACATATTGCTTTGCCTGGAGGAGGGCTACATCCTTCATCCGCGCCTTCCTGTTTATCCACGACACTTCTCCTGGTTGTCCGCTAGAGTTGCACAGACATTGCGTCAGAGATTGCCCACCGTCTCGGACTTCACCCACGAAGGGCCCTGAATACAGAGGAGGCCATCGCTCTTGGGAACAAAGGGCATCGCTACGAACGGAGCAAGGACGCTACTAGGGGCGCTCCTGGCCTTACTACTAGTAGCAAGAAGCTAGTAGGAACAAAGGCCATCGCTCTTAGGTGCGAGGCCCTGTTGGGAAAAGGGCGACCATGGGCCACCTACAGACACCTCTACTTCACGGAAGAGATTCCTTGCAACGTTTGAGATCGCTGAAGCTGAAGAAAGAAAATCTTCGACCTTCGACCAAGCGCAACTTGCGTGTGGCACACACGAGCGGGTGGCTATGTATGTTTGGACTTTTCTGCGGTTGCATCTCACCTCAACAGTAAGCTCTGAACCGATTTTTTGTTTGCCAGCAGAGAACAATATTTAAAGCTCGAACAGGCCAGAGCCGTTGAAAACCAAGAGCCGGCCAAGGCAGGAACCACAACCTGATTGCCCAAGAGCTTTACGGGCACGTAGTGAGCAGCGTTGTCGCAGCTTTGCAACCCTTGGCCATGCAGATCAATATCTTCAAGGCGGCTTTTTCAAAAATAAGAAACCCTGGAGATCTCGTTGTTTGCAATCAAAGTGGCAGCTCCAATCTTTTTTCAACAACAAACGGGCTTTGATGGAAAGAGCCTGAAGGTCTTGAGTTAGTGTTGGAACTCACCGCTGTCAGGTACTGGCGAAGTACCAGGACAGGACTTTCTTCTTTGTATTCATGCCTCTGAACTGCACTTGCACCATTAGCAAAGCCCGGAATAATGTCAAACCCACTGCCATAGGCGTTTGGCACAACGTCATCGTTCATAGGGTCCATAGCTCTACTCTAGCTAGCCTACGGCTGATAACCTGTATTTTACAGGATCAGCTCTAATCTACTAGCTAACCCTGTCTAGCCGTTAAGCGTCCTTTTGACTCTACCACTTGAGAGTCACGCTACAGGTGCATGGGGATGAGTGGAATTTTAACAGTTTCCACTCTGTTGTCTAAGCTTCGTGGTTTTGCACCGATTCATTTGCATTTGGCTGCTTTAGCCTCAATCTAAATAAGCTTGCAAAGTTCTGTCTTTCATGACTACCGGTTGTGATCAATTGTGTGATGCAAGTAGCTTAGAATTGCAAGAGTCTTGTGTGACAATCGCTGACCAATCACTCAAAATTGATCCTGCCAAGTTAACAACTGTTTGCCATGCAAGAGACTAAACCAAGCAAGCAAGCAAACAAAGGAGCAAGGAGCTACAGGAAGGAGTGATGGGACATGTTCTGTACATAAATTGAACACCTCCTGCTGTCCTTCGGTCTTTGCATTCCTTTCATTAAATAGGCTCTCTTTTAGACACTCTACCTCTATCCCACTCACTCCTCTTACTGTTTTACAAATTCTGTACTCAATCGCTTTTACATCTACTTTCTGACACATTCTTCTCTACATATCCTTTTCGGAATCCAGTTTCCAGCCATACCCTGGAATTTGGAATCAATAGATACCTGTGCGACGTCATTATACCGTACCTTGTTTGATATCGCTGAAGCTGAAGAACCGCTTGATATCGTTGATATCTTGGAGGATCTCTGGGAAGGCTTCCTCTGCTTCCTTCATGGAGCAGGATCTCTTGGAAAGCTGGTGGCGAGATGGATGATGCCCAATGAAGAACTTCAGACAAATATGCCACATTTGTGGAGGCCATCGCTCTTAGGTTGGAGGCCATCGCTAGTCCAAAAGAAATTTGCAGAATGCAGATCTTCGGAGGCTGGAAGAGCGTTGGAATGTGCTTGACTGGATTGATGTATTTTCACATGTGAACTCCTTGCGGACTGTTGCTTCATTGGCTAAAGATCCTTGCTCAGCATCCTTGCTAAAGAGAAGGTTCCAGACGAGAGTAGAACAGGGAAGTAGAGATCGGATCTTTGCAATCGATTTGTTGGGCAAGAGGCGTGGTCATCGCGGTCGCATTCACCTCCGCCGGTGAGTAGCATGAGATGCAAACCATGCATACTGCAAGCACTCAAATCAAAGGACCAAAACTTCAGAGACCCAGAACCAGTGAGTTTAAATGATCTGAACACTGAGAAACCAAAAAACGTTGCAAAAGCAACAGAATAATATGATCAACAACAACAACAATAATAACAACAACAGAGAAACCTCGTTTGTCACTCTGCAATGGCGCATACCAAGGGAGGACCATGCCAAAAAGGCCGAAAACCTCCATAGCACAGCTGGAATTGTCGTTTCGCTGCTGAAGGAAAAAACAACGAAAAGACGAACTAAGAGGTTTCAACCTAATAGCAATGGCCTCCATCCTACTTGCGATGGCCTCCACTCTAATAGCGATGGCCTCCAACCTACTTGAATGCACAACAAAAGAATCAAAGAGGCAAAGAGAAGAAAAGCAATGATTTCTGTTAAACAAGCAGTTTGAGATGGAGACAGGAAAAAGATTCTCACAACATCCGTTTAGAGGCAAGAATGGTTTGCTTCTACTTGTAGTGGCGGCGCTCCTTGCTTTAGCGCCCAAAGCATTGCCAGAGGCCCGTGAAACAGATACTTGTTGTTTTTGAAGGACAATGCTCATAGCTGTCGTCGTGCTGCTGTATCCGGTCCCTTTCTTTTTTCCCGACTACTTTGCTTCCTGTCCAACCTTGCAGGCTCTTGTCTTGCAGAGGACAGCAAAATTGTGTGAGTGGCTGAAACTCTTGCAGAGGCATTTGACTTAGGGGGTTGAATCGAAATATTGACGTTTTAATGAGCGGATCTACCTGGGAGCTTTTTATGAGCTGAGAAAAATATGTGTTGAAGACAAAAGGCATGATAGAAAGACCAGCTACTTATATAGTACTTGGTCCTACCAGCCCCGATTGCTACAATGACTACCGTCCTACTGGAAGCGATACTCCCAGCGCGCATGCTTGAAGAACCTTTGCTTTTCCGTGCTTCCATGGGCACGTGCTCCCGATGTGCCTGATCAAGAAACAGCAGTGAAGAGTAGGTGTTTTGCTACGTTGTGGGGTCTTTTCTTTGCATGTTTTGCATGTCTTTTTCAGGAACAAGAAGCTACTAGGGGCTCCTGGCATCGCTACTAGGAGCAAGGATGCTACTAGTGGCCGTACTACTAGGAGCAAGAAGCGAATAGGAGCAAAGGGTATCGCTACTAGGAGCAAGGACGCTACTAGTAGCTCCTGGCCTTACTACTAGGAGCAAGAAGCTACTAGGAGCAAGGTTTTCGTGTTTCTTCTTCAGACTCGTTGGCCTTTCCGTTCCTTACTTTCTCTCAGTGGTTTGGAGGCCATCGCTAGTAGGTGGGAGGCCACCGATCCTTACTTTCCATCCGATCCTTTCTTTCTTCATTCTCTCGGTGTTTTTGCAGTGCCTCTTTGGAGTTGATCTGTTGATCTTCTTCTCAAGTCAAGGAGCCCAACAGCTCCCCCAAGCATTTCGCGAAGTCCGGATGCTGCACCAGTGCCCTGGATAATTAATCTCAAAAATAAGACACCAAGCAAATGAAGAAGGAAGGTTTCGCCTAACGAAGTACTAAAGTACTTTAATGTCTATATTATGTACTGAAGTCTAGGACCTAGGAAGTGTTTCGACCATGCAAAGGTCTTCACTTGGCTACTTAAGCTAGTAAGCTACGCCAAGCTACCTCTGACCTTCTACGCCCTTCCCTAACCTCCACCCACCATTTTGTTTGTTTCAGCTGAAAATGGGCTTAAAGAGGCTGCCAAAGTCAGGGCGGACACCCGTTGCATCGTCCTGAATCGGCAATATGCGAAAGACAAGAGCTTTGTTTAAGGTCTTGGACTTCAACAGCCCTTTTCTTTTGTTATCTTGCTGTTCACAAGAATGCGCAAGGAATTGCTGTTGATGTCATTGTTGGCTTCGCTTCAGTCAGCTTTGGGCAGGATGGTAGCCAAATGTAGCCAGTACGTACAAGAGGTAAGCTGTAGCGGGCAAGGAAGAAGCTATTAGATGCACGAGCTTCGCATGGTCAATTTGATCCCTAGATTTTAGGAAATGTCACTTCTGCCTTTGTCTCACTTCTCTTGTAGTTGCAAGGTTTGGTGATGTTAAATGGTAGAAAAGGAGTTCTTCTTTCAGGTTCTTGGCTCTCCGGCCACCATGCCGTGATCATGTGACGATTCTTTTCTTTGCTTGCTTTTTGTGGGGGGATGCACTAGAGCAACCTAATCATGCATGTGGTGTGAAGCAACCGGCATTCAATATGCACCCGGGGCGTGGCACCTTTTAACAAGACCACCTTAAAGGGTGCTCATATAAGAGAACCCTATTTTGTTTTGTACTATGTCATTATGTTTGTTTTTTCTTACGGGTGTGTTATTTAAAGCTCTTTGTGTTTGTAAGTTGTTTCCACAACGGGCTTTCCTGTGGCGATGATGACAAGCGACTGGGAGAATGTTGCAACAGCACCAAGGCTTGGATGGCCAAGGCGCGTTCAGAGTTTGCTTTCTCCTTTTTTGAGCGATGTGACAACGTGAGCTCTCCCTCCAACCTAACAGCAATGGCCTCCAACCTAAGAGCGATGGCCTCCAACCTACTGCTTTCACTTTTCACTGGGCAGGTGGTTCCCAATATGGTTTTTGTCAGCATCGCTGCTGCCACTGCCATGGCAACAGCTGGAGGGAAGAGCAGAAGTTTGTTCGTGGGACAATCCAGGCGAGGCACACCAACCTAGTTGGACCAAGCCCAACATGCAGTAAAAGGGCATCGCTACTACAACAATACTAGGAGCAAGGACACTACCAGGAGCAAAGGGCATCGCTACTAATAACAATTTCACGCTCTGACTAGTAGCGTCCTTGTTCCTAGTAGTAAGGCCAGGAGCGCCTTAGTAGCGTCCTTGCTCCTAGTAGCGATGCCCTTTGCTACTAGTAGCTTCTTGTGGCGCTCTTACTTAATTATGTACTTGTAGGTGCCTTTCCTCCTCTTAGGATGTAAGCTTCTACTTAGGATGCAGGATAGCTCACGCTCGTTGGATTCGGGCGCTAGGAGGGCAGCCCGTGAGGTAAAGCAAGTAAGGAGTAGCTAAGCAAACAAGAAGCTACCGATCGGACGAAGGGCTCGAGCTTCAAGGGAAGCTTCCTTAAAGAAACGAGGAGCTTCCTTTGGTGGAAACAGATCAGGGTCTCCAACCTGGTAGCGATGGCCTCGAACCTATTAGGGAAACTTCTACATCTTGGATGCAAAGAGTAGTTTTCGACATTTTAGCGCTTGACATCTCCCTTCGTGCTACGTTCCGCACATTGCACTGCAAAGTCCATACTGTTTTGCAGGTTCCTTTGCCCTAGAAACCTTTGCTGTCCTGTACTTGTCTCTCGGAATCTCAACGTTTTATGCTTTCGTGCTCTCGCTCATACTGGCCTTGATATATTTTATACATTCTTCTCTGGATACCTCTCTGTTACATCTTGTCTCTACAATCGGAAGCATTTCTGCTTTTTCTGTATATTTCTACTCGCAGATCAACCCAGCCCACACTTGATGCAGTCTTCACAGAACAATTTGCAACCTTTAGTTTTGCATCCCGACTGTAAATATCTGAGGCCTAAAGCACACACACACACATCACGTAGCCACTGGGATTTGCAAACTTCCCCCTTGTTGTTCCCTAATTTTCAGCTTGGCCACGTAAATAGCTTTGACCAGCACTGCGCGCAATTCGTCCCGCCCACTCCGCGATGTTGGCCACATTCGACACATCCTTCGGAAACGGCGTTTCGTGTGACCTCTTGTTCGCAGATATGGGCTCTACTCATGCACTGCCTTTGGCACACATACACTGCCTGTTCTTAGTCCCGTGGCTTGGAAATTGTCAAGCTAGAGCTCCCTTGACCCCACACTCACGGTCACACACGCATAGAATGTTCTCGACAAATCAATGAAGGTCTCATGGGCAGAACAAAGTCGTATTCAGAAACCAATGTGCACGGGTTTTCCAATGTAGGGATTGGTATGTTATCATATTCCGCTACAAGTCTTCAGACAAACAAGCTATTGGCTCACATGGTGCATCTTATGTTCACCTTGCTGATGCCCTTCTACTAGTGCAATCGTCCCACTCAAACGTCACACAAAGTGAAATGACAAACACAACAGAGAGTGTTCCTTGTATTTTTTCTTTGTTTAGCAATGGCCTCCAACCTAGAAGCGATGGCCTCCAACCTAATAGCGATTGCCTCCATGGACAACTTGCTACTTCGTGAGAAAGGGTTGCACTTTCATGAGACCGTGGTCGGTTCTCGTTGACAGTTGCTTTGTCGAAGCACGCAACCTACCTATCGTTTTATTCTGTCCTTTTGGCTCCACACTGTAAGCAAACTAGGTAAGTAAGTGAGTGAGTAAGTAAAGGAGATAAAGCAAGTAAAGTCCAGTCAACTTAATCTAGGCTCAGTACTAGGTAGAGCTTGGGTTCTTGAAGCAAGGGCCTTTTGCACAAACCAAATCTACCCTTAGATTTGAAACAAAATTGGTGTCGCCTGTCGGATTCTCGCTGCAAAAATTCCTACGGAAAACAAAGCCCATTGAGTCATGAGCGCCATGAATCTGGTATTGCGGGTGGGCAATACAGTGTAGCTCGACCTTTCCGCAAAGAGTGTGGCTACACACTAAGGAGATCTGACCCTAGGTGTAAAGGCCAGTTTTTGTTTGGGAGGGTTGCATTTGTTCGCGAACTTTTCGCATCAATGTGTCACTGGGCAGAACTAAGCAGGAACAATAGAATGCAAGTGTTGTGGACTTCAAGGGAAAAGTCGTTGGTTCTTCACACGGAGAAGTAGAAGTTTCTCAGAAGTAGCATTATCTTTCGTAGTACACATGTCTAGTACGCGACTTTGGGAGCTCTGGGTTTTGTTTGTAGTACAAACAATAACAATAAGAAGCAGGCAAAGAGACAAAGCCCAGACAAAGGAGACAATTTTTTTCTCTATTTGTTTTCTCCAAAATAATGCACGACAGTTCCAGTTCTTGCATGTGGATGCCTCCTTCCCGGCTCTAACATTGTGCAACCTGAACTGTTTGGCGTTGTTGGCCGGGGAGTCTTCGGCCGCTAAGAAGGGGGATGAAGGGGGTGAGGGAAAGAACTAGTAGCGTCCTTGTTACTAGTAATAAGGCCAGGAGCCCCTAGTAGCACACCTAGTAGCGATGTCCCTTGCTCCTAGTAGCTTCTTGTTCCTAGTAGTGTGGGAAAGAACAAAATAGAATCATATCATATACCTTATTATTCACACGCATATGTGGCAACGCATGGCCTGCACGAGCAAGATTACGTAGCAATGTTTCAATGCAATTGCTGCAGCTGTGTGAACAATTGCTGCAAGTTCTGTCTCACAAACTGGGAACACATCTTTTGGATAAGGCCAATAAATGCTACTAGTGACAAAGGGCATCACTACTACTAGTAGCTCCTGGCCTTACTACAAGGAACAAGGACTCTACTATTTGCTACTAGTAGTAATGCCTTTGTTACTAGTAGCGATGCCCTTGTTACTACTGGCAAGGAGTCGCTACTAGGCTGTTTCACCTGTGTCGCTCGCAGGCCCAGCCGCCAAGTGAGCTGCGAGCGAGCACAACAAGATGTTCGACAAGTTCCTTGCACACGATGTTTCGATTGAAACCGGTCGGAAGATGTGTCCACACAGAAGAACCCCTAAAGAACCCTGAATGCAAATCAACTCAGCAAGGTCACAGCAAGTCACAAGAACATCCTGAACAGACGTGGCCTTCGTCATGTGGGCAAATGCATTTTGTGGGCGTGAGAAAAAATCCTTGTTCATTCCCTACCTAAATAGCGATGGCCTCCAACCTCCTAGCTTCTTAGTAATGCCCTTGTTACTAGTAGCGTCCTTACTACTACGTAGCAGCGATGCCCTTGTTACTAATAGCCATGGCCTCCAACCTAGTAGCGATGCCCTGCCTTATTCATGTCCTTTTTGAAGTTTTCACACCGTTCAATTGCTGCAAATAAGGTTCCTGTTCACGTGGAGGAAGAGGAGGCTCAACCCACAGGGTGACGTCGCCCAACAACGCGCCAAATCAGCAAGTCTTGACCTTTGTGAGGTGGGCATTTCTGCATCTCCACCAGCAAATCTGTACGTAACTTGGCATGTCTCAGCAGTCTCAGCTTGCCTTTACCTGGGAAGAGGGCAAACTGGCCCCTAATGCAAATTTGGAGCTTGGACTTGCTTCTTGCAAGAAGAATGTTTTGCTTACCCTTCACTAACACGCCCGAGATCACAGTGAACCGTGCTTTGGCCTGTTTAGTAGACACATCGATAATCTTCGATCTATGCCTAAAAAGATTACCAATGTAATAAAAGAAAACCACACATGCTGAGTAGCCCCCGCAATTTGTTTCCAGCAGTTTCGCCGTCCAGACTTTTGTTTGATCCTGGGGCGGCAAGACCTGGGGTGGAGTTGAAGGTGCTGGGAAACGCGTCAGCTCTGGAGATGCTTTGCATGGCCTCCTTGGTGAGTTGTTTATTACATTTAAGAGCAACAAGCTGCTGGTCTTCATGTACTCTGAAACTGTCGTGGTGAAACTCATTCAGAAGGAAACACTTACAAGCCGTTTGAGATTCCTCAAGAAACACTGTTGACTTCCACTCGTCGTGTTGCCCAGACCATTCGGAGAGCAACAAAAACCTGAGGCAGATATTCTCCACATGTCAATGTACCGAGTGAACATTGCAACATGAGACGTTCTTTTCACATGTCCATCAACCCCTCTCACTTGCGGCGCAAGTCCTTTGCGACCTCAAGTTGGCCCTTGAGCACCAGCATGCTACAAGCCTGTTTCCCTTGGAGGAAAACCACTTCGCAGCTTCTGAGCGCACTTCGTTCTAGCTGTCGGACTTCCTTTGCTTTGCTTTGATGTTGGTAGTGGAGGATCCTCGCTGCTTTATCATGGAAGACTTGAGAGCCCCCCTGGCGGTTGAGGTTTCGATCTTTTAGCCGAGCGCGTTCAGAAGGCCGGTTGGTGAGCCAAAGATGGGTGAAGGATAGGAAGCAAGATAGGGTCGGTGATCAATCTGAAGCTGCAGCAGCTGAAGTTTCTGTTCCACCCTCGCCTACCACAGTAACTGGAGGCGGAGCAAGAGACATGTATGCTTTGAAGGGCAGTGGCTCTCTAAAGGCCGATGACGCAGGCGCGCCCTGTAAGCCCACATGATGCACCTGGCGTGGGATGCAGCCGAGCACCTGTATCTGAGAGAGGCGTCCTCTCTTGGACGAACGCTATTCCAGTTTGAGGAGTAAGTTGAAGTGCAAAATCGTTGCAACAAGTTCCTTGACGCCCTCGCAAAGCTTAAGCAAAAGGATCTACAGAGCTTCCTCGTGCGGCATCGCTCTGCGTCGAAAGCACAAGAAATGTGGGCGTAGAAGTTCCTTCGTTTGTTGGCAAGGCCTCCACCCTGCTGGACACACTCCAGGTCAAAGCCTTTTGCAATGGAGACCTGAAGTTATAAGCAAGATCCTCAGCAAGGTCTTTGGTGGAGACCACGCGCCGGACGTGCAGGATTTGTTTTCATGTATTCAAGCAGCCCCAATCACCGTGATGAGTTCCTACGGAGAATATCGTGGTTAGTTTTTCAAGCACAACGATGAGAGGACTGGCGCAATGATTTTTCCACGAAAATGATGGAGGCGTATAGAGGGCGAGGCGCAGGCCTAAACGAAAGGAAATAGAGACAAGACGGTTCCCTACCCATCCGTCCGGAAAGAAATGAGGCCACCTGTGTTTGTTGTTGTTGTCGTTGCTGGCTTCACAGCGAACAAATTAGCAACAAACAACATGTTAGTTGCGGCTCCAGATTTGGAGTCGATTTGAGTATTGTCATTGTTGCCCACTCAAATTTGTGTTCTCCACCTACTCATGTGTTTGTCAATGGCTTTTCCATGGTGTGATTGGTTCATTAATGTGTGTTACACTTTGTCGTTGCTTACCTCGCAAGTTTCAGCAACTTTGCGACACGTTGAGGAACTCTTCGGAACACCTTCCACTGCAGATTCGAAAGACATCAAGAAGACGCCCGGCAAAACGTTCAGTGGTGGTGATTCTCATGATCTATGAATCATATGAATGTGATATTGACCTTATGACCTGTGACCGACTTTCTCAGGAAATATCACGACTTGCAGAAGTCCAAACCCAAGCTCGGGTTTAGACGCTAGTAGCGATGGCGTTTGCTCCTATTAGCGTCTTTGCTCCTAGTAGCGATGCCAGGAGCCCCTAGTAGCGATGCCCTTGCTCTTAGTTTAGTAGTTTCTTGTTCCTAGTGGGAAAGAGCACCGGTAAGACCTGGGGCGGTCTTCAGGCTTTGCCATCCTGATGTCGCAGGCCCAGAGGGCGAGGCGCCCATTGAAATCGCGGCATGTTCCTTTAGTTTGCGAGGTCTTAACTCCAAAAAATGGGTTTAATTCATAATGTGTTCATGTTTCTGCAATTATTTAGGTTTCCAGATCAAAAACCATAATCCATAATCCAGCATTTACGCATACCGGTTGGGATGCCCAAGCATTTCAGCCGTTCCAGCCGTTTTCGCCTCATCATTTAGCCATTTCAGTGTTGTCAGTCATCGCCCATGAATACGGCAGGGGAAATCCGGAAAGAGTGGGGCTAGGTTGGAGGCCATCGCTAGTAGTTTGGAGGCCATTAACGTTTTTGTCGTTCTGCACGGTGAAGATCCAAAGGTGACGACAAAGTGCTCAAGTTTCAGGTTGTGAAGTGCATAATGCTCCAAGGTGATAAGAAACGGGTGGCGTTTCGGTAATTACGGTTGTTTGGTCCAAGCATCCTCATACGAAAGCGTTTGTATGTTTGTGGTTTAATATCGGCTGCTTCGAAGGGTGCATATAAAGATCTATATCTATGTCTCGTGTCAACTTGCAAAACTTTTATATACATAGAGTTAGATAGACAGACAGAATTGCTTGCTTGCTTGGTTGGTTGGTTGGTTTGTTGGTTTGTTGGTTGGTTGGTTGGTTGGTTGGTTGTATGTAGATAGGTAGATAGATAAATACTATAGATATGATAGATATGATAGATATATGGATAGATGGATAGATACGCAAACCCATGTATGAACAACGAGTGGGTCTTTGCTCGTGAACACCAATGGAATATGCTTCCATACAGGCAGGTGGTGGTTTCGCGCAACAGGCAGGTGTTACGCATGAAACTGCAGATGACCTACAGATCCATAGAGCCGGCTTTCCTGTAAGGTCCATAGCTCTGCGGTAAGTTCCGCCGTCATTGCATTGTTCGCTTGCATTGCCGACGGGAGCCTTGTTAGTATAAGTAGATGGACAGCTGCAGTGCGCCACATCTGCAGGTCAACACATCCACTTGGGCCTCTCCTGTCATGGATTGGCCCATAAGCAACGCCAGGTCATTTGACGCCTCTCACGCTCACATCCGCCTATCAGTTTGTGGTCATTGGCGCTTTTCTGCTTAGACAAATGACAGCATGCATGCATCCACTTGCAATTCAATCTGATTTTACGCGACGTCGCGAAAGGCTGAAGAGACTTGTGCCTATTTCATGCTTGGAAAGGGGAAATGAACATCAGCCATGGGACTTATGGCTTTCGCTGCGGCGGAAGATTTCATCTTAGGGGTGAAAAATATGCGGTCGACCGAGACACAAAAGGAGCCCGCACGAACAATATGTTGCTGACAATATCAACATCGGCAGTCAACGCGTGGAGAGGTTAGCTGTTGTGTGTTTGTTTTTTGATGCTCACCAACGCGATTGTGAAACTAGACAAGACACCGCTGGCTTCACAGATTTTCGCATGATCAATGCGTTTGTGCTCACACTCATTGTCGTGATGGTGCTGCTACTGCTGGCGCTGGTTTGCTGCTGGTGATGATTGGGCGAGCCTTCCCCCTGCCCACCTGCCGTTCGTCCACCACCAAGTAGTTTGACTGTGCTTTCTTCAGGGGTTGTTATCATCAGTGATTGCCTTTATTTGAATTTATTTGTGCAGGAAATTTGCATTCTTCTCAATGATGCGTGGGAGCTGCTTTCCGACCCAGAGAAAAGAAAAGATTACGATGCTCAGATTGAGTGGCTCAGCAGGATGGTTTGCAAAGACAAAGAGAAACGGTTTACAGAAAGAGACTAAAGTGACTAAAGGCAAAAGGATAATCATTATGATATTATGTATATGTAAAAAATGTCCAAAGAAAAGAGTTATATGGTTTTGTTATTTTGAAACAAATAGATAACATGTCCATTTTCCGGTTTAACTTTTTGAGGTTGGCGAAGCCAGCAAAAATTGTGGTGAAGCCGCCGGTGTGCACCGAAATCACACCAACCTGGAAGGGCGAGAGGAAGACATTGTTCTTGCCTCAGATGTCTTGGAATGAACATGGAAGGAATGAAGCGAAGCAGAATGAATAAAGCGAATAGTGTAAATCTTCTGATTTATGTTATGTTCTATGTTTCTTCTTGTGTATATTGGAATGAACCTCAGATGTCTTCTGTAGCTAGTATTAGCCTACGGGTGTAAAACCGAACGTGTGACTACTGCGATTTTTGAAGTTGATGCTACGTGAAAGGTGGGGGGGTTGGGGTGGGGTGGGATGGAGCATATTGACGTTCGTTTGCACTTGCTATCTGAAGTTGATGCTACGTGAAAGGTGGGGGGTTGGGTTGGGGTGGGATGAGAACATTGTCATCGTTTTCACGACAAGTAATCTTCGGTTTCACAGCATTGTCATCGGTTTCATAACATTGTCATCGATTAGTCGTGTGATTAAAATGGGGTTGGGGGGGTGGGGGGGGTTGTGATGGAATGAGGATGTGGATGTCATGCTGAGAACATTGTCATCGGTTTCACGACAAGTAATCTTCGGTTTCAGTGCATTGTCATCGGCTTCATAACATTGTCATCGATTAGTCGTGTGATTTGCGGATGGCAATGGCGTTGGGAAAGCACCACGTGTACTAACTTGTGCAAAACAACTGCGCAAGTCTACTTGAGACAGGACGCATGAAAGTTGAGGACAGCCCGGGACAAAAACGGCGACGGATTTTGCGCTGGCGCTTGGGTTTCGGCAGATTCGGCTTTAAAAATGAAAGGATCCGGGACCCCCAAAAAACATCATCGAACAAGCAAAAGTACTGAGAGGGCTTGCACTTTTGAATCAAAATTTGCACGACTACACGTGCGATTCCACACCCGGCGGGTAGTATTAAGTACGCCGCTTCTAGCTGGACAGATAGGTATTGATGTGGTTCTAAGCCGATCGCGATCACAAACTGAGGAAACACCATACAGACTACACTGGGAGCCTCAAAGCATTGCCGTGGAAACACTATGAACAATCATTTTGCGATGAAAGGGTGTTGTCATTGCAGTGATCAGTGATATGTTTGTTTGTCCAATGGTCCCATGGTGTCATTTTGAGGATCCCGCTGTCTCGCAGTCGCTGGGCAAAAGTGCCCCCTGAAGATCGTGGTGAGAGGCATCTGGAAGAGAAGATCCTTGGCCCACGTTTGGCGCGCGGCCGGACAATGTTATGATGTGTTTTCATTTGTGTTTTCATGTGTGTTTATGTTGAATATAAAGCCAACGGAAAAGATATGTTTGTTGCCATGCTTTACTGTGTTTCTGTTCTTTCATTGTACGATATGGGAGCCTAGGGATTACAAAAATATGTTGAACAGAAAATGCTTGGTTTAGCAAAGGCGCTAGAAAGGGCAGTTTCCAAGAATGCTACCAGAGGCTGCCTATCACTAGAAGCAGTAGCTTATAAATGGTGACCGAAGCGGACAAAGTCAGGTATGGTAGCTGTATTTGGTTATCGATCACATAATCATTTGCAAATCTGTACAAAAAGGCGTCGGATTGGCAGATTCTTACTGTCGGACAGTGCAAGAAGATGTGAGACATGAGCCATCAAAGATCTTTTGGCATCTCTTCTAATAGCGATGGCCTCCAACCTAGAAGCGATGGCCTGCAGCCTAAGAGCGATGGCTTCCAACCTAAGAGATCTAAGAGGGAGGAGGGGGAGCGGGCTAAGGCTCACTGCTCTCACGCCTTGACCCAGTCATAGCTCCATTTTTGAAAAGGGGCCTTACCGTCCTTACTAGTAGTAACAAGTGCCCCGCTACTAGGAACAAGTGCCTTACTAGCAGTAACAAGAAGCTACTAGGAACAAGTGTATCGCTACTAGTAACAAGTTCTATTTTTTTGGAACATGAAAAGCTTTTCTCAACGCGTTGGTGTCAGCTTCGGATGGGGTGGTCAGCGTCCTTCCATGCGCATAGCAAAGAAACACAAAGAGTTTGTTTGCAATGTCCTCAGGATGCTTTTTGTTGATGAGTGGGCTTGCATTTGCTGCCGAAACTGTTCCTTTGCAGCACTCAAGCTCAATTATTCTTAAGAGAAATGTTTGAAGCCTTGTCAGGTTGTGATGTGGCTCCGCAAACCTTTTGCATTCAAAATGACAACGGTGCTTCGGCTGCAAACACTTGGTGTTAGTGCGTGTGCCACCAAGCTGTTGTTCAAATGAAGTCACTGCCATCAGCTGAAACTGCGATGTGACACCGTGCGAAGCCAAGGACGCGCAAACGTTTACACGCAGTGGGGAAACTCCGAGGAGCAGAGCTCCCTGAGCAGATGCATGCGGCAAAAGTATGACTCAGTATGCTACACAACTGATATGTTGAACGTGTTCATAGATCATGCTAAGTCATGCTACATTTACTGCGCACACTTCACAGCGTCCGTTCAGGAGTACTTGGACTATGCTGTAGCATCTTGTCCTGTGGACTGCATCTACTGGGTGAGTCGAGAGGAGCTGCAGGCAAAGGCTTTACAGTTGCAGTGACCGGCTATTAGGTTGGAGGCCATTGCTAATAGGGTGGAAGCCATCGCTTCTAGGTTGGAGGCCATGGCTGTTGGTGTCCACGGAAATGCGTGATTACTTCCGGACTGAACAAGCAGCACATAGGTTTCATATAGCGCCCTTGAAGTGTCAACAAGTCCAAGAAGAATTTGGTGTGAGGAGTAGTTCAACTCTTGGAAAGCAAAAAAAGGATGTAGAAAAGGGCATGAAAACAAACAATAGCTAGAAGGAAAAGGAACTGGAATGTAGAAGGGCAAAAGGAAGAGAACAAAATTCAGCCGTAGTGGAGACGCGCGCACTGGCATCAAGAACTATTTCTCAAGCCTCTTTGCAAATTGAAATGGGATGTGGGTCAGCAGCCACCCTTGCATAATTTGCACGTGGGGCACAATGGACGCACCTGCTTTAGACACATTGATGTTCTTGCGACGCCAAATGCATCGCAAATGCTGTATGGTACAACACTTCGACTAATATAGTTTGCTATTAGGTTGGAGGCCATGGCTCTTAGGTTGGAGGCCATCGCTAGTATGGTACAAGACTTCCATTGAATATTGGCTCGTCGGGTCAATTGGACTCGATATTGGACAGGTTCTGGAGTACGTGCAGTCCTAAGCGTGGGCGAGGCAGTGGTGAAAAACTATCGTATGTTTCAGGACACCAAACGACTAAACTTTGCTCAAATCCCACAGATGACGTTTGACTAAACTGTCATGCTCAAGTCCCATCCCCTGGGATTGCTCCTAGTAGTTAAGGCCAGGAGCGCCCCGTTCGTAGCGTCCGATCGCTCCGTTCGAGTCGCGATGCCCTTGGGGTTGGAGCCAAAGAGTTTTGGTGGCTAAATCCCAACAAAAGGCATCGCTACGAACGGAGCGATCGGACGCTACGAACGGGGCTCCTGGCCATACTACTAGTAACAAGAAGCTATTTGAAACAAGAGCTAGAATTAGAATATAAATTAGAATTAGTAGCAAAGGAAGCTATTGCAGCTTTGTCCACTCACAGCTTAGGTCACCGCTCAGAAGATGGTCGATGAGAAAGGGCAGCTACCATGCCCACTCTCATATATGCAGGACGGGCTCAGAAAAGAAAGGTAATTCGCTAGGTGAAAAAAGAGGAAGATGTTTGTTGAGAAGAGTGTTTGATTTTGAGAAGAATCTAGAAAGGACAAATGTCTTGCATGCTCCTAGTAGCTTCTTGTTACTAGTAGTAAGGCCAGGAGCCCCTAGTGGCATCCTTGCTCCGAGTAGCGATGCCAGCAGCCTCTAGTAGCGTCTAAAACATATGGAGTTTTCTCCAGGAACTGAGTTGTCTTGACATTTTTCTTGCTTTCCTCGCTGACGGCTGACGGTTCTCTCGGTTCCACACAGAGTGAACTATAGACATTAGACGACAGAAGTGTAACTGAACTGATTATCGATGGCCTCCAACCTAATTAATAGCCATGGCCTCCACCCTAGTAGCGCGATGGCCTCCACCCTAGTAACAGTA